CCCGTCCCTAGATAATGTTTGGTTGGGGACTTGGGGGTACAATGGGTGCTCAGATGTTACAGATGCTCCCCCCAGATGTTACAGATGCTACAAAACTGTTTGAATCGGGGGCAAACTAAAAGTTAAGGCAGTGTTAGACTTTTGAGAAACAGAAGCAGATTATTTGGATGAGAATCAGGTAGTGCAAAATGGAGACACTATAGCAACTAGCCTAAGTAGCTATTTGATTCATTTTAATGTTTGTGAAAGATGCTGGATTGTGTTCCCTGGAACTGTTCTCTGAAGAGGTCAGAGAGAAGGCTTGCTCTCTTGGGCTGTTGTGTTCATAGTGCCAGCTGCAAGGCTACCAATTAGTGCTAATACAGTCTGCTAATTATTATTCACTCTCCATTTTGTATGTGTGTAAAGTAGGTGTTTGTTGAAAATCCAGTCTCACTCCATGTAATCAACCTAGCTAGAAAAGTACAACAGAGTAGATAAACATTCTTATTTGTGGAGGCAATCCTTTTGATATATTTGATAAGAAAACCCCGGGACAGGTATAGCTGGTTTGTCTGTGATTCTCTCCTGTAGCTATATCTTCCCTTTCTTTGAAATATCTTTTGGAAGCTTTAGATAGTGGAACCCATTTACCTTGAAATCTGTCTTTTCAGAGAAAATCTTGTTGTGGAAAATGCTTTTGTAGCGCACAGCTTCAGTAAATCAGTTTCATGCCCACAGGGACAGAAACTTACTGCTGCACTGGAGCTACTCTGCAGGTGTGAGACGAAGTCTGCACTGCAATCTTATGGTTTGGGGTATGAAAAAACATGCGCCCCCCCCTTCTTCCCAGTGCAGCAAGTTATAGTGCTGAGTGCTAAACAGATTCCTAGTACAGTTAACTACTTCCCTTGTGGATTACACAGAGTGCTGAGAGAGCTCTCTCCCTGTGCGCCTCCAGTGTTACCACAGCTGCCTTTTCTTTGTCTATTCTTCTAAAATCAAACTTAGTTGATAGCTTTCTGTCTATCATGGACCCACTTACCAATAGTTAGGGTTGTGAAATTTATTGCCTTGTATCTGGAGGCGATAGTGGATCGGCTTTCTAACAGCCTAAAATTGCCTTATTTCAATATTAATAGTTTGGAAAGTATGAGGATGTGACAGCAGTTCCCCAGTTTGTGTCTGCTCCTGCCGCTTAGGCTTAGTTTGCGGAGTTGTTCACCCCAGGCTAAGTTCCTGGCTCTGGTTGAGGAGGGCAGGCTGGTCTCCAGAGCATCCTTGCAAGCGGCACTGGACTTGGCAGGTACTGCTACTCGAGCCATAGCCAGAAGAAGGGGTTTTGACTTCAGGTATTAGGCCTCTTCTTTGAGGTCAAACAAACACTCCAGGGACGTACCTTTCAAAGTTGAAACCCTGTTTTCTAAAAAAACAGGCAAAATGCTAAATAGCCTGAAGGACTCCAGAGCCACCCTTTAGTTCCTGGGTCTTTATGTGCAGGCTCTTCTGCCTGTACCCTACACAGAGCTTTACTCAACAATATCAGCAAGACAGCTCCAGAAAGCATAATAGAAGTGGCAGGAAAAGGCCGCATCAACCCTCTGGCCAGAACTTGGGACATCCAAAGCTGTCTGCAGGTTCTCAGCCTACCCTTTTGAAGGCACAGCTGAGGACAAGCATACCACACCATTTCATGAATCCTCCCTGCCATACCTTGTTGTCCCAGTGATCCCCCAGGCATGGTCCTGTATCATCTCAGACTACTTGGTGCTCCTCCTGCCCTCCAATTCTGTGCCCTTCTGCCTTCCCTTCCTCCTCCCTTCTCAGGGACCCTTCTCACAAGCAGCTCCTTATCCAGGAGATGCAGTTGCTCTTATCACTGCATGGTCTTTCTGACCTCCATCATTCCCTTACTGGTTCCAGCAGACTGGTTCCTGCGTAAGAGCCAGGTGTAGTTTGTTTCCATACCTGGATGACTGGCTGATCAGGGGCTGTTCTAGGACTCAAGTGAATGCTCAGGTCAGGTTCATCAGAGCTACTGCCTTTCACAATGTAGGTCTCTTCTTGAATGAACCCAAAATCAACAGTGTCTTCTCTTCAGAGGTTAGCATTTATAGGAGCAATACTGGACTCAACCCAAGCTAGGGCATATCTGCCAGAAACAATATTTCAGGCCCTGGCCAGTATCATTCAAGGGCTCTTACAGTTTTCCCCCCATTACAACACAAAACTGCCTGAAGCTTCTGAGGCATATGGCATCCGGTACCTATGTATTGCAGCACATCAGATTCAGGCTCTGACTGCTCCAGTCATGGGTAGCCTCAGTATATTGGCCAGCCCAGGACAGCTTGGACATGATCATGACCTTGCCTCACCTGGTCCTTGACTCCCTTCTCTGGTGGATAGACCCTCAGGAGGTATCCTCAGGGGTTCCTCATACCAGTCCACAGCTATCCCCATCCTTAGTGATGGATACATTGGACACATCTAGGAAATCACAGAACTGATGGTCTATGGTCTCAGGCGGACCTGGCTCCGCACATTGATGTCAGAGAGCTGAGAGCAGTATGCCTAGCATGCCAAATCTTCCAGGCATACTTAATGGGTCAGTGAGCATCAGCCACAGTGATATTCCATATCAGCCAACGGCAGTGTCACTCCTCTTTCCTGTGAGACTTCTGTGTAGAACAGTCAATACATTTGCAAGCATTGTACCTTCCCAGGGTACAGAAGGAGTTGGTAGACTACCTCAGCAGGCTGTTTCATGACCATGAGTGGCCCCTTGGCCTGGATATTGCGATTTCAATCTTCCATTGGTGGGACTTTCCCCAGATAGACCTAATCACCATGGGTATGTCTACACTACCCTCCTAGTTCGAACTAGGAGGGTAGTGTAGACATACCCATGGTGATTAGGTCTATCTGGGGAAAGTCCCACCAATGGAAGATTGAAATCGCAATATCCAGGCCAAGGGGCCACTCATGGTCATGAAACAGCCTGCTGAGAGCCCGGCTCGTTCGAACCCCGTGCCATGCGGCTACACGCGGCACGGACTAGGTAGTTCGGACTAGGCTTCCTAGGCCGAACTACCGTTACTCCTCGTGGAATGAGGAGTAACAGTAGTTTGGACTAGGAAGCCTAGTCAGAACTACCTAGTCCGTGCCGCGTGTAGCCGCGCGGCACGGGGTTCGAACGAGTCGGGATTTAAAAATGGCGGCGCCCGGCTTATGCAAATGAAGCCCGGGAAATTCAAATCCCGGGCTTCATTTGCAAGTGCGGTATGCCTACATTACCCTTCTACTTCGAACTAGGAGGGTAGTGTAGACATACCCCATGCGACTAGTGGTGCCAGCAGTTCTGCTTTTTCCAGCAAGTAAGCCTGGGCTCCAACAATCTCCTGTACACGTTTCCTCCCATACCGCTCAATCACAGCATGCATCTCCAGATCCAGAGGGAGTGAGCTCGGGTCATATTGATAGCAGCAGCCTGGCCCCATGAGCCACTGGCACACATCTCTTATAGTCATGTCAGAGGAAGACCTGATCACACTTCCACTCTTCCCAGACCTTCTCATGCAGGGGCAGGGTTACCTTCCACATCCAGGCCTCAAGTCACTTCACCTCATGGTGTGGATGCTCCATGGGTTAAACCCGGCGGAGCTTTCCTGGTTCAGACCAGGTTAGACAAGTCCTTTTTGGCAGTAGGAAACCCTCCATGAAAGCCACTTACCTCACCAAGTGGAAGGGATTTTCAGTCTGGTTGGCGCAGCATTACTTCCCAGTACTAACCTTAGTTCTTCATATTCTGAAATCCATCTGAAGCACTAGGGACTTTTTGTTGTCATCAATAAGGGTTCACTTAGCTGCCATCTCAGTCTTCCATCCAGGCCAGCAGGCTATATACCCTCACGTGTGTTAGCCCATTCCCACCTGGGACCTCAGCCTGGTCCTCTCCAGGCTCATGGGACCACCATTTGAACCGTTGGCAACATGCTGTCTACTCTGCCTCTCTTATAAGGTAGCATTCGTGACGGAGAGAACCTGAGTCAGGAAAGTGTCTGAGCTTAGGGCCCTAACATTAGAGCCCCCTACACCATGTTCTATAAGGCTCAGGCCTTATCCCGCTTTCCTCCCAAAGGTTGTGTCACAGATTCACATCAACTAGGACATCTCTCTCCTATGCTCTATCCAAAACAACATTCCAGCGACAGGGAGCAGAGACTCCACTCTGTAGATGTCCACAGGGCACTCACCTTCTACGTTGCGAGAACAAAACTTTTCAGAAAATTGGCTCAGTTACTTGTGGCAGACAGAATGAAAGATCAGCCTGTCTTCTCCCAATGCATCTTGTCATGGATAGTGCCCTCTATTCATGAGTACCACAACCTGGCAGGGATTCCCACACCTCCAATCACCACACATTCCACCAGGGCACAGGCATCGTCAACAGCCTGTTCGACTCAGGCTCCCACACGAGAAATCTGTAGAGCAGTGACATGGTCCTCCCTCCACTTGTATCTTCTCCACTACCTATGCCATTACCTGCCAGGTCAGAGATGATGTGTCCTTTAGAAGGCAGTGCTCTAATCAGTGGCCGTCTCTGACCCCTCTTCCTGAACTTCGGCTTGTGAGTCACCTGATTTGGAATTGGCGTGAACCAGAGGTGGTCAGGCAAGCCCCCAGCCCCACCTACAGCCCTGCCCCTCCTCCCTCACACACACCACAGGGTAGGGAGAGGGCAAACATGTGGCCCCAGCCTCTTCAGCCCCAGAGCATGGAGAGGGTAGGCACTGTTGGGCAGCAACACTCCGCCTCAGTACACTTACAGTTGGCGTTTTGGGGGCGGAGTGTGGGCAGGGCCAGGCTGGGGGTTTGGAAAGGCCTGTTATACCAGACGCTCATGGTGTGAACAAGCACTTGAAGAAGAAAAAATAGTTACTCTCCTTCTCATAACTATTGTTCTTTGAGATGTGGTGTTAAAATAAATAAGCTGTGGAGTTCATGTCCATTGCAATACCCACCTTTCTTCCCTTATGTTGGAGTAGCCAGCAAGAAGGAATTGAGCGGGTGATGGGTCAGTAGGGCTTGGTACTAGACTCCGTGAAGGCATGACTCCAGGGGAAGCTCAGACTGATCCTGAAGCTGCTGCTAAGGAAAAATCTTCTGTCTGCTGGGTACATGTGTATTCACACTCCTGATGGGAATGAACATGAACAACAGTTATGCGAAGGTGAGTAGCCATTTTTTATTAGACCCTAAGAGCACTAGTACCCTATTAAGTTTCATCCCATTTCTATCATTCCAGTCTTCATGATTATCCAGAAATCTGGATCTTATTCTGTTCCTGCTCAGGGTTGTGATGCTTCCCAATTTGTAGATCTGCAACAAGCCTATATTGCAATATGTAATTCCTCAATTTGCTGTCAGTTTTTACTTCTAAAGTAGGCGAGATTAGGAATGAACTACTTGATAGATAGTAACTCTTTTAAGGTCAGTGTTGTATTAATTATTTTTGTTATAGTAATTACCCTGCCACTTCCAACTTCCAAATTACTTTATTCCATTTAGATAAACTAAAACAGTTGCAATTGTTAGCCTTGTCTATTTGAGATGGCTATTTCCAAGGGAAAGCTGATACACATCTGCGTTTTATTAATTTGACTTTTCTAAGCAAATACTGCTTTCATGCTCACAGGCAGCCCACTGGCTTCACTGGCACAGACTGTAAATGAGGATACTTTGGCCCTGCTAAGGTCTTAAAAACTTCTCGTAAACATTATGAATCTTTTTTCTTTATCCACTTCCCCCCCCCCTCAACTAATCTGTGGCACACAATAAAATGAGACTGTAATGCTTTGTACTGCTTTTTATTCTTAATGAACCTTTGCATCAACTAAAGGGTTGATTTAGAATCAACTTGAAATAATTGTATTGTCCTGATCCATGTAGAATTATTTACAAGATTAACAAAAGCAAGAAAAAATGAGGCATTGCTTTGCAACTCCAGTAATATGCATTCCAACTGCTAATGGCATCAGCTTGCTGGGGTAAACCAAGTCTGCTATAGAGCACATGCACAAAAAAGAGCCCTGACTGAGAGATGGAAACAAAGAGCGATGAATTAGTTTGGTTGCTCTCCTGTGTAACATTCTGAAAGAGGAAAGAAAATTGTTACTCCAGAGAGACCAGTTTTTACTGATACTTATTGATGGGAAATCTGCTTCCTTCAAGTCCAGGTAACTGGTTTTGATTTTTTTTCCCCCTGAAGTGAAGATTTGTGTTTGTGTGTGTGTGTAATATATATTCTTGAAGAATTCATGGAGTTAACACTAGCACTAGATTTCTATTTTTTTCCTTGTGTTCTGGGGAAGAGACATGTAGAAGATTTGTGGCAGATCTTAATTTAATCCTTTTTCTCTTTTGTTTGCCTGTGACTAGAAACATTCTTGTCTTTAAGGTTGGAATGCATTAACTTCTTGCATCCACACCGAATCCGATCCATCATCCATTTACGGTTTCCAAAACCAAATATCTGTGCAAGGCTAGAAATATCTGAGCATTTAAAATAATAATTCCAGTAGTGTACTACTACTATTTATCACACTCTTGGTGCTATGACATCTGAAATACTATGGTGAAGTTTCTTAAAGCTTTAAATTAATGCAAATATTGTTCCATTAAATGTAATCACATGTGCTACAGTCTTGTACAAATAACATCTATTTGATCTGGAGTTTTGCTACCTTACTAACCCTGAATCCTTTAAAAGTACATCTTCAACTTTAAAGGAATAGGTCAGTGTCAGTCTAATACTAATATACTGTTCACAAGGGGATTTTAACAACAAAAAGCCCCACTTCCCATCTAGGACTTCTTAACTCTAAAAAAAGGTGCAATGTCATGGAAAGATCTCATCGGGTTGGTCCCTTAGTATTCGAGCACTGTTGCATGCATTTTTATAAATTTCCCAATAGTGCAAAGTAGTTTCACGGGATTAGTGTGTTACATAGGGTTATTTCAAATGAAAGGAAGGTAGTTCTCTCCTCTGCAAAAATCCCACTTAGTGCTTTCCTGTTCAGTGGAATCTTTTTCATCCAATTATTTCATCTGAAGGTAAATGAGAACCCAGTATCCCAAATTTAGGTAAAGAAATATATCCCATGGCAGTAGCTGCCAAGCTCTGCTTCTGTAGAAATTCTTCTGTCTCTCCCCCTTTTAACATCCAAAAGCCTGTATGCAGTGTAGCAATGCCCATATCTTTAAACTTAACTTTTACTCTATCTTCTAGGGTAGGGGTGGCCAACCTGTTACAAAGAGCCAAAATAGTGGTGGATACAGTGCAAAGAGCCGAGGGAAAGAAGTTGTTGAGCAAAAAAAAGGGGAGGGTGCTACTCCCCTTTAAGAGCTGCGTGTGTGCCAAGCGGCGCCCTGCCCAGACAAGGAAAAAAGGTCAGAGCAGGGGACTGTGAGAAGAGCCGCAGGTGCAGGAACCGCAGTTTTTCCTTTGAGGAGCGTCATGCGGGTTGCAAACCGCTGGTTGGCCATCCCTGTTCTAGGGGTTTTAGTTGTCAATGCCCCACCCTCGCAGAAGTAACATAGTAATTATTTATTTTGAGGCCGTGTCTGGAAGCCTTAGTCATGAACCAGAATCTAGTTTTGCTAATCACTGTTCTAATATGCAACATAAGGACAGTTTCTGCCCCCAAAACTTAGTGTAATCATGGTCTATTATTTATAACCAGCTTGCCAAGCTCCTTCTAAGATTGATTAGTCCATTCTGTGAAGTCTTTTTGCATGGCTTGAGTTGCAATGCAGTACTGTGGCTTGGGCACTGGTCTGGATGTCAGAAAACCTGGAATCTATTTCTGTCTCTGCCACTGACATGCTCTGTGAGCATAGGCAAAGCACTTCATCTCTCTAGAAAAATCTTTGTAATTTGTAGTGTCATCCCTAATGTGTCCGTACATTTCCAAGGTCACCTGTTCCTGGTTGAGTTTCCAAATATGAAATATAATTTACCATTATATTGCTGCATTTGTGTTTGGAGAGTAGCATCTTCTACCATGCTGTGCGGCAGTGTTAGTAGGAATGTGAACGTTAAACCAGTTAACTGGTAAGCCTCACCCTTAAGGGATGAGGCTTATCAGTTAAGGTTAACTGGATGGGTTTGGAGCAGCTCCCCACCAGCTGCGGGCAGGGGGATGCTCCAGTCCCGCAGTGGGGGGGTGGACTGCGTACAAGGGCTGCGCTGAGTCCGGGTGCCCCGTAGGCAGGGGCTACTCTGGCTGGGATGCCAGAGCAGCTCCTGCCCACAGAGTGCCCTGGATCACTGCAGGCAGGTGCTGCTCTCGCATCCCAGCTCTTGTAGCTCCTGTCTGTGATGGGGAGCCACTCCAGCTCAGCAGCCCGGGGGTGTGTGTGTGTATGGTAGCTATCCCCCTTTAATCAGTTAACCGCTAGACAGTATGTTTAACCACTTAACCAATTAAATGACATTTTCTATTCCTAGTTGATAGCTTTTTTTCCTCTTTAAGTTGTATCACACTTTTTTTGTCTCAGAGGTGCTGTGTTAGTCTGTAACTTTAAAAACGAGTAGTTCTGTGGCACCTTAGAGACTAACATACGTAGTATTGTGAGTTTTCATGGGCAAAACCCACTTCCTCAGATGAATGGGGTTTTTTTGTAAGCAGAATTAAAAAATAGAAAATATTTGTTTCGTTTTCTTTCTTGCAGTCTGAAAGAAGTTGAGCTTCCTCCTTGGTGCTCGGTGAAGCTATCTGCCTGCAGAGGTCAAACTTGATAAATAAAGTAGTACCACTATCCACCAGGAGAGGGGCAAACCGACACCTCCTGGGTACTAGTGACATGGCCATGTGCTTCCAGGTGGGACAGGAGAGAGTGTCTCATTAGGTTTATTTAGTATGCAGTTGTTGTTTGGATCAGTAACAGTACAGGCAGTCCCCGGGTTACGTACAAGATAGGGACTGTAGGTTTGTTCTTAAGTTGAATCTGTATGTAAGTCGGAACTAGCGTCCAGATTCAGCCGCTGCTGAAACTGACCAGCAGCAGCTGAATCAGGACGCCTGGGGCAGAGCAGCTGAATCAGGACGCCTGGGGCAGAGCAGCTGAATCAGGACGCCTGGGGCAGAGCAGCTGAATCAGGACGCCTGGGGCAGAGCAGCTGAATCAGGACGCCTGGGGCAGAGCAGCTGAATCAGGACGCCTGGGGCAGAGCAGCTGAATCAGGACGCCTGGGGCAGAGCAGCTGAATCAGGACGCCTGGGGCAGAGCAGCTGAATCAGGACGCCTGGGGCAGAGCAGCTGAATCAGGACGCCTGGGGCAGAGCAGCTGAATCAGGACGCCTGGGGCAGAGCAGCTGAATCAGGACGCCTGGGGCAGAGCAGCTGAATCAGGACGCCTGGGGCAGAGCAGCTGAATCAGGACGCCTGGGGCAGAGCAGCTGAATCAGGACGCCTGGGGCAGAGCAGCTGAATCAGGACGCCTGGGGCAGAGCAGCTGAATCAGGACGCCTGGGGCAGAGCAGCTGAATCAGGACGCCTGGGGCAGAGCAGCTGAATCAGGACGCCTGGGGCAGAGCAGCTGGGGTGCTGCCGGGTTGGTCCAGTAGCGCCGCTCCCGTCCTCTGCATCTCCCTGGTCTGCTGCCCCCCCCACCCCCCACAGCAGACCAGGGAGACACGGAGCAGCTTTTCTTGCCCCGGAGGACACGGGCGGCGGGACCGCGGCGCGTCTGGGCGGTTCTGCCGCCCGCGTCCTCCAGGGCGAGAAAAGCCCCGTTCGTAAGTGCGAATCCTACATAAGTCAGATCCGCGTAACCCGGGGACTGCCTGTACTTATAAACTTTACATTGCATGTTTTCTGGTACATATTTGAAAAGATGCTGTCTATTGATGGGCTTTATTTTTTTTTCATTTCTAGACTCCAGAAATTATTTTTATTCACTGTTTATTTTTATTCGCTATTTTTTCTGCTCAATTGCTTGTTACATTTTTGAACAAACAATGGACAAAACACTAGCATCCCAAATTTCCCTAAGATTTTAGTGGAAAGTGATGAAACCCTGTTCCCATGTCCCATATGTTCTCCTTAGCAGGATATTGCTGTACAGGTTTTGTTTGTATTGGAGCATTTCAGTGAGGCTTGTGCTTCCAAAATACAGGTTGAACCTCTGTA